GCATTTTGATCACCGAGCCAACTCCGTTAGAGTTGCTTTCTGTCACCGATGGTTACACAGAAAACCAGCAATAAAATCACGCATGACAACCGGTCATAACAGCGAGTAAATTTAAAATCAAATGACCGGTTGGGGACCGACCGTCTGTGTAACTGGCCCTTTACAAAATATCTGTATAATCCATCACGTTATATGTATCTGTGACCAGTAAATACTTTTCACATAATTACTTTTTATCCAGAAAACAACTACACCGTTAACATACATTCAAGCGTGTAGGAAAACATCTTCAAAAGATTCATGTAAATATTTGTACATTTTTCTTTCGTAGTATTCATTTTCCTGAATTTCACAACATATTTTTAACTTAGTTTTTCAAACTTTATATATTTTGCATAAAACAAAATCAACTATAAACATAGGTAACACAATGTAATTAAATATGCCTGTGCTCTTGTAAACTGGTCATATTTACTACCAAAAATATACTACCAAGTAATCATAGTCAAAGTAACTTCATATGCAAACTCCTCATTCGAACTACAATGTAAACTCCTCATGCATATTACATATGTACACTTTTCAAATTTACTAAATACATGTATAAAATGTACATGTTAACAAATCAGACACACTACAAATGTATACACATCATACAAAATACATATCTTAAATCCTCACACTTACTGTATATGTGAACTCCTTATAAAAAGAACATATGAACACGCTTATAATAACTACACATGTAAACTCCTTATTGTATACAAATCATACAAACTACATCATTATGTAAAATTTAATACATTGTACATAATATTATGATAACTCTTTAAACTAACTACAAGTGTAAACCCCATATACAAAGAAAATATGTACTCGCCTAAGTCATACAACATATGTAAAGTCGTTACACAAAACTTAAACTAAAACAAGTTATGCACAATGCATATGTAAACACCTCGTTCGAACAACATATGTAAACTCCTCAATCTTAATGTTAACTACTCAAACAAACTGCATATATAAACTCCTCATACAAACTGCATAAACTAACTATACGAACTACATATCACAAAAACTACAAATGACGCACGACGCGAGAAAAACGGTCTTTATGACACACCAATAAAAGTGCTCTACAGCGATTAAAATGACATCACTCTTCTTGCGTAAACACATGTTAACACGGAAATGCTTTTTATCGTGTTTTATTGAAATTTTAAAGTTTATCTACGTCGGAATTTTGAGGAAAGTTTATAAGATGGAGGATGAGTTTGAAGTAAGTATCTATAAAGTATATTTTATAGAATTAATTAAAGGGATACTTAGACGACAAATGAACGACAGAAATAGTAAATTGATGTTATTTACTCAAATCATGCTAAAATGTCATTCTCTAATGTCCTAGCATGAACTTCTGTATAAATGCTATATATTTAAGGTTTGAAGCGTAATTATATTTTCATATATTGAACGAAATGAAGAATTAAAAAGTAAAGAATTAAAAAGCATTAACTAGTACCATTTGTTACCTATTCAGGTGATATTCCGATTTTTGTACCGTAATTATAAAGATCGTTGCTTTAATAAGGTTCAAATGCGCTGTTTTTACCTCTATCTTCATGGTAAATTACGCTCAATCTGTCTGGTTGAGTTCAATTGACTATATATTTAAAAAGAAAAAGATTGACTATTATAATGGCCCTTGAACAATAGATGATTATGAAAATTGCCAAGGATAAAATATGATAAATTGCCTGAAATGTAAAAGGCCTGCCCCACTCTTTTTGTAAACGGAACATTAACGACATATTCTATCTATAGAAATTGTTGTGATTCAAGTGGGTTATTGATTATTCACATGGACTATTATCTATAATTTAAAATTGAAACATATTATGGAAAAATCTCAAGTTGTTTTGACTTTGACCTTTTCATCCACCATTTATACTCGGATAGGCATAATGTCACTTTAATTCATGTTTAACTATGAATCTCTTTTTTGTTATTTCATAGTTAATGAGGGTATACGGCGTAATGTTCCCACACGTGACACTGAAGAAAAGTTTGTCCCTTAAGTCAGAATGTCTGTTTGCCTTTTTTTCTCACCAGATCGGCCCAATATACTTTTTAACCCTGCGTAAAATCTAGACTGGATGACATCCTACAACAACTCAACTTCCTGAATGACGAAGGTCAAACGATAGGTCAAGATGGTAAAGGTACAAGCGAACCTGACGCTGTGCTGTCGATGGTAGACTGGAAATTGCAGAATCAAGTTAATTAGACTCCTGCATTGTCGATACACTCGGTATTTTTATAGCAAACTATTTACAATGATATAATGGTCAAACGGTTTGTAATAGTACCTTTCTTTCAAGTCGGAGTTGCTGTACCATAGAAAGAGAAAATACCTTATACATGAATGTGTAAGGGTGTATTGTTTCTATTAATCGTTTACCAGTGACTTTAATTTACTTTACTTACATTTTTATAATAACATGAAGTCAAAAATGTCAATACCGTATAATTAGAACGTATTCATGCTCCTTAAAGAGTATATTTAAGCCAAATCTAGTAAAATATTTTAACATTAGATAGATTCTATATCATTCCTTCTATAATAAAATTAAATTTATAGGTACGGATGGTCTTAAATTTTATAATTTTACAAACTGACGAAACAGTTTGTGAAATTCAGTCAAGAGACCATGTTTACGGAGCTTTCCAAGTTGTTCCATTCTTCTAACTAAAATGTTTTTAAATGTGCACAGAATAATATTTAATATTGTTGATTAATAGAGGCATATTAGGAATTAAGTTTGTAACAGTTAGCAATACGGTTATTTATCGTTTTCTTTTGATAGAACATTCCAGCACATTCGGTTCCAGTCAGACACACTGGTAGCGGTGATGGCCAGAATAACACCCGAAAGCGAGAACCAGTTGATACAAGTCTCGAAGTAACCAGGATTCGGTTCAGTTCAGGTGTCCGCCCATAAGTTATTACGTGTAGGGGTGTCAAAAGAGCGCAATAAATGATATTTGGTGCGAAGCTTGCGAGCGTGTGTTAGTCAAGACTATCAGTCTTATCATCAGTGATTTTGGTGCACTATTATAACAGTTTAGTGCATGTACATATTTCAAACTACTTGTTTTTATGTTCATCATACGGTATTATTGAATTGTTTTACAATTTTCTACACTGTTTTGTTCTAAAGAATAAAAACGTAAACGTAGAATTTTGAAATTAACTATTTATTTATTATTTTTCATAGTCCTAAAGACATTAAACGTTAAAATACGTAGACTTATATACTATTGTTTGTTTCTTTCTTTGTATTAGGTATATACAATTTGTTGTCTGCTGACTGAATGATTTAACTTATGCGACCAGTGCATACAAAAACCACCAACACACCTGTGCTTTCTGATCGTGGTCTGCAATATTTGCTTTTCAGTCAGTACATATTTTGAAAAATTCCAGTAAAGATGATGAATGGCTTTGTCCAGATTGAAGATATTTAGCATTGTAATTGTTAAGGTACAAATGATTAGCCGTGTATGACACACTCGTTCGTGTTGCTATTACGTTGCTAAGCAACGATGATAGTCGCAATTAGCTAGAAGACTCTTATTTACATAACTTTATTACTAATCTATCGCCGTTGCTTTCTTTTCTTTTATTTGAATAATTTGCATGATTATTTTGCAAATGGTAATAGTATAGAAGGTTTCACATTTAATGAAGAAGTACTTGGCATTGTGAAATTGTTTATTATTCTTTATGCTGACGACACTGTTATTTTATCTGAGTCAGCAAACGATATACAAATTGTTATCAACCTATATAAAATTTCTGTGACAACTGGAAAGTAAAAGTAAATACATCTAAAACAAAAGTTTTTGTAAAAGGTAGGCGAACGCAGTATAGTTTTACATTTGGTTATGAAAATTTAGAAATTGTATAGGAATTCAATTACCTAGGAGTATTATTTAGTAAAAGTGGTAGTTTCTTAAAAGCAAAGACTTATATAGCTAAGCAAGCAATAAATGCCTTGTATTGTTAATTGAAAAAAAAAAAAACAACAAAAAAAACTTCCTTTGAATATTTAAATAGATTTATTTGACAAACTTGTAAAACCAATTTTACGATACGGTTGTGAATGCTTGGGATATGGTAATAACAGTATGGTTGAAAAGGTACAATCGAAATATCTTAAACATATATTAGGCCTTAACTTTAGTACACCAAATTGTTTTGTGTACGTCGTATGTGGTGTTAAACCTATTTCTATTGATATTGATTGTAGAATAATGAACTTTTGGTCTGATCTAGTTGTACCTAATGAATTAAACCTATCTAGCACATTTTATCAAATTACTCTTTAAACTTATAAAACAAGTAGTAATGATAATAGACAGACATTTCTGTGCTTAAGCATATTAAAAATATACTTGTCAAATGTTGAAACCTCAATGTATGAACCTATCAGATGTTTCCAAATCAAAAGTGGTTAGTTGCTAATGTGAAGCAAAAATTTTCAGATTTAATTCTAAATGACTGGTATTGAACAGAATCGAGCAAATGTAAAAATTAGAAATTATTTAAAGAAAAATTGCATTTCGAATCCTATTAAATAAATTTACCAAAAAACTTACTAAGATATGTAACAGCAGGCTTCCTGTAGAAACCGGAAGTTGGAATATTAAAGATTTAAATTTACGAAAATGTACACTTTGTAGCAGCTCTGGAAGTATTGGAGATGAATTTCATTATTTCTTTTAATGCAATAAATTATCTGTACCAAGAAAAAGAATGTTAGATCGCAATTATGTACAAAATCACAATTTTATTAACTTTAAATCTATAATGAATATGAATACAACCCATTGTAATGAATATAGTAATTTTGTTTATTTGTTAAGGAAATAATCACAAAATTTGATAATAGATTTCTACATATTTGTTCATCATGTCCTTGAAAATGCGTGTCCTTCTCCATTTTGTTAAGATGAATTGTATTAATATCATTTTTTTTCATGTGTATGTCATACCTCTTTATGTAATGTATGGTTATATGCTAAAGCTCATATTGTCATGTGTGTACATAAATTGAGTTCTGAAATAAACTTTGGAACTATGAAACTACTTTTTTACAGTTAGATCAAACTAATTGAGTTGATTTAGGATAAATAAAATTGCCGCTTTAAAATTCTTTAATTAATAAACGTCAACTTATTTTTTCGACGTCATTTGTTAATAAATTGTTCAAATATATTACTTTCTTTAAATAGGTATATCTCAATAAATAAGATTTTGATTTAAAAATAGTTTTCACTATCTTATTCAGAAAGAAAATCTCTACAAAAATGAGATAAAAACCAAATTTCGAAAAAAATGTCATTAAGACCGGTATTTTTCGCGTCGTGCGTCATTAATGTAAATCTTTCATGCTTGCTACATATGTAAACCCTCATAAGACCGCGACGTAAAACTTTTTATTTTATCCAATCATATAAACTACATATATCACCACCTACATATATTAACTCCTCATATTAACTGCATCTGTAAACTCCTTAAACGAACATAATACTTCAACTACATATCAATACTACATAATTTATGTAAACTCCTCATAATTGCTACATATAAAAACTGTTAAAACACTTAAACAAATCAATCAAACTACTTTGTATAGTCGCAAAATTTACTACATTGGTAAACTCTACATTTACGCATTAAGATTAAATAAAAGAAGTAACGAAGAGTTGATGATAACTAATTGTCTTTAGATTTTCCCTTGGTGCTTGTTTGAATACCAAAGTTTTGTATTTCAGATGATACGGAATTTTATAATTGAAATAGTTGATGAAAGAAATATCAAAGATAAACATAGTACATAAATTGTAATTCACGACACGTCAATTTCGGAAAAGAAAAACTATTAACACATAGGCTCTTTTAACAAATATTTTAACCATAATCATTATGCTATCAACATACTTTTCTAGGTGCCTTAAAATTTTCTGTCTTATTTTATCAATAAAAGCATTTTAAAATGTTAAACATTTGAATTTGTAAAATTGATAATGTCTTACTCTTTGAAATTGGCAATGTAAACAATGAGAAAAGCGTGAACAACGTTTCTTCCTTTGTTTGCAAAAATACATCCATAAATTCAGAAAATAAGAATGGAACAATTATATTCAACTACATTTACAAACATAAAACAACGTTCAAACAAAAAAGTGAAACGACGACGTTGATCTAACGAAAAAGATAATGTTACATCTAAGGTAAACAGAAATGATTGACAGTACAGGCATACACTTTTAATATTTGTCACCATTATATTGTAATTTGTTGATATTTGTATAAGCTGGCTATTCTGATAGTGAGTAAATTTCACCTGGCTTTTTATCAATTTTTATTAAATTTGGCTACTGTAATACCAATGTGGAAATAGATAAACCATTGCCATTCATTATACGATAGATAATATAGCTCTATTTAAATTAGCCTGAATATCACTAAAATAATACAAATATGTTTCAATAGCGGACACATTGAAGTAAAAATTCAAACTAAATGGCCTACAAACAAACAGATTATACCTGCTAACGCACACACACAAAACAAATATTTTTGTCCCAAAGGACGTAACCAAAGTTGGCACCTAATGACGCTTTTTTATTTGGTGACGCCACAATTACTTTTATTACTGAGATAGTGTTTAGTTTATTTTCACTAGAAAAATAGAAACGTTGTTGTGTCACTCCAGGAAGTAAACGGCCGTTTAGCTTATTTGGTAGAGGCTGAATCAGATATGAATCCCGGACGGTGCAGGTTCTCTCGTTGTGATTGATCATGGCATCCTTTCTCTAAAAAAAGTGATGTATCTAAGATGAATTTCAGTTTGTAGTTTGTATTACACATTGTAATATGTGTTAATTGTAAGTATTGACCATATTTAGATAATGCAAATAATCGAACACATTGAAAATGGCCTATTTGCACGGAAAAGAAAAAATATACATAAAAAAGTAATTCTTTAAAACACACACGTAGCCTTTTTAAATGGAGGATTTATGGTCATTGTTGAACGGCAATATTCATACATGTTAATGAGTTCTTCACAAGTGTCATTAATACGTATTATCCATAAAAGTAATGTGACGTTTTGGGGTAGATAAATACGCTTAAAATTCATACGTCTTAGGTGAATCGCAGGAAAATTTGTATATATAATGTGAATTTTTCTCTGAAGATAATCTAAAGTGAATATCACTACAGATGTCTTGAAATTGCCTCATTTAGTCAGATATTGATTAGCGGCCATGAACATTTAGGTGTTATTTATATTTGTTGTTCAATTTATCTCGTAAACTTCTATATAATCCCGTTCTGCTCGTCCAACTATCAGTCTCATGTGATTGCGATCATAGCAAACCGCCTGTAAACGTCCATCTTTATCATCTGATGTGAGTATTTCTCCTATTACCTCACCATTTGGCGAAAATTGTAAAATATTGTTAGAAAAATATCCACAAACAAGGATATCTCCACTATTTGTTTCGCAAATTTCTCTCGCGTCCACTAGTGTGGAAGTTTTGTATCCCCAATGTAATTCCCCATCCTTACTGAGCACTACAAGACCAAGTTTTAGGTCAGAAACATATATCCTCTCACCATCTCGACTGACTGTAAGACTGTATATATCACTAAACAAGTTATCACCTACCTGATCTTTAGAAACTTGTATCAGCATTGTCCCTGTCTTGTTGTAGACAAATAAAGTCGCCTTTGAATCTGTTACATAAACTTTACCATTTCTGTACCCTAAGCCATAGCAATTATGATCGGTTTTTATTTCCCGTGCTACTTTAAGAGAACCTTCTGTAGTTACAATGTCGATGTTCATCCCACCGGAGGAAACAGCTATCTCATTGTCAACTTCACAAATTTGCCACGGTAATTTCGGAAGTTTGCAGACATCTACAATGTTGGGTGAGGTCAGATTAAGACGTTTCAAGCTTCCTTTTCTGTTATCAGCGATAATCACACAGCCATCCTTTAGCATACATATACTCTGTATATCATTATTGGCACTTGCGTCTGAATCATGTTTGATACTAATCTTCTTCCTTTCCCCAAGCCAATATATAGCTGGCTTTTCAACAATTTGTCCCAAAATGTTCATTTGGTCTATCATTGACATCAGCCTTTGTTGACCTTCAAAAACAACGTCAAATCTTTTAAATCCCCCTTTCTTCTCTTTTAAACCATTTTCCGCCTTTTCTGTAACTGAGTTAGCTACTTTCATGCTTTCAAATTTTTGTGACACGTTTGACGAGGCGGAGTTTAATTCTTCTGCTGAAGACTGAACATCTGTCTGGAATGTTGCCAGTATAGAAAATTGCTCTTCAAACATCTTGAGTAAAGCTTTGTATCTATCTTTAATGTAATCAATGCTCTCCTTTTCAAGAATGCCAAGCTTCCTGTTGACGTCCACCCAAAACTGCTTTATTTTCTCAACTTCTTTTTCTTTCCGTTTTAGTAGACGTTTTATTTCCCGCTGGCGCATTTTCAGCTGAAATTCAATGTCACCGGTAACAGCTAACATTTTCTGCTCAACGGCTTCACATTGACTTGTAGGGTCATGATCTAAGACGTACTCACGCACATAGGTCGGCACGTTACATTTCCTGAAATATTGAGAATAATGTAAACTAAACTGTATATACATAATTTTGCCAGAACAATGCATTTATTTTACATTAGCATCTTATTCTGTTTATTTAAAATATTTCACATTTTGACCTCAATTAATAAAGTTTACACGTTAAGAGCTTTGAAACTTTCAAAAATATATATAAAAGAATAGTGAGACTTGTTGAATTCTGTATTTACATATAATGGATAAGAATCATCAATGAAGTGGCAAGTTTCCTTCTCAAAACTTGCTTTTGAAATCACAAATTTAGAGGCTGTTAGAACGAAGGATCTCGTTTGTACAACAAGTAATTTGCTTCGTATTTTTACAATGATACAAACGTTACTAAGACGATTATGTATTCTCTTCACATGTAAAAATCATATAATACATGTATGACCATCACCATATTAGGCACATGAAGAGTATTATTAAAAGTGAATATAATCACTTCGATATTTAGGTGACCAGCATATGATATTCTGGAATTTAAATGGGATATTCGTGTTTAACTTAACATAAAAATTATTGAAGAATGAACGATTGAATAATTATACTTCTTTATATATATTTTAAAAACGATAAATACATAAATGTTTAAATCTAACGTAACAAACGGAACCACACATAAGAAATGCCTTTCTATTCATTTCGCCTTTACAATTGATACTAGCTAGCTATCTTATTATGCATATTAAACATGTCTACGAGTTTTAAGCCTCTAACAGATTTGTTTTGTTTTATTTCGCTAATGTTTATTAAATAGTATATCCATATATTACTGAGCCGTTTTTTTTTTAAAAATCGACAATTCTAATGTAAGTGTTGGAAATATTGTACTTTATATTCGAATTAATTTGATTTTAATTGTCGTTTGGTTATTAGTTTAAGGTGACAACGGAGTCAATTATCACTGAAAACACCTAAAATGAGATTTTTTTGCTTAGTAGATTTATCAACCTTTTCTGAACACATTTGTGATTTAATTTTGGAAGCAGTTAGTCCAAAAAATGTGTTTTTAAACGTTTAAAAACGGTGCCTATCACATTTTTATCTGCTATCCGCGTAACCTGTCAATTATCGATAACGCTCCGCCCCCTGTTGAGGCATCAATGAGGGAAATCGGTAGTTCCATATATCCGTGAATTACCTCTCCATACTACTCGTAATACATGTATCGTACAAATACTGTACATCTTATATGAATATCTCAACGTTATATCGTCTACCTTTTATTTAGCCTTTTTGATAAATTAAGAAATTGTAGACAAATGTACGTTACATAATGTATGTAACATAAATAATTAAGCAAAGCGGCAAATTGCACGACCACGGGGTTGATTAAAAATGTAGTTGCTAAAATATCAATAATGTGTGAAATAATAATTTGTTTGTCCCGTTAATCTGATATATATTACATTGAGTTTATGGACTTTTGTACGGATTCAATGGCATATTTTTATTCAACCCCGTTTTCTAATAATGTCAAGTAAAACAACAACAAAAACAGATAACATTTTTTATGTGAACGCCTGTATGACATGTGGTAAGGGGTCCCTGACAAATTTCTAAACCATTTTTACGATTGTCTAAGGATGATTACTTCTCTATAAACAAAAAAAAAAGATATTAAAATATATTATAAGTGAATGCTTTGAATAAATTGTTCGCAATTAAATCGAACACAGTACAACTAATAAACCTGGGACAAAGTATGAAATTAGTTATTGTATATCCCAGTAGAAACCGGATCTCTATGCCGTGCATAGATGATATTCATGATAATAGAAGTCAAGAAGGTCAGATCATAATGATCGAGTAATGCACTTTCTATTAAAATATGTGAAGCACTTATATCAATTTTGCGGAAAAAATATATAATATCCCGTTCTTACTTGTTCATCTACCATGCATGCACTTTAAAGGACTGTCAGAAGCTCAGTTTTTTTTTTGTTATGTTAATTTATATTTTAACGGAATTTCATACACGAATACACAGACAGAGTGACACTGGTATAATATAATAATAATGCTGATGGTAATAATAATAAACTTCAAAATTGAAACAATTAAATACCCCGTTAGCGGTGCGCAAATGCATTCCATATCCCCCAATTGAGTGCCTCAAATTTAACCAATAGTCACGTGACATATGCGACAGATACCAGACGGACAGTAAATCACGTTAAGATTTGATGAAATTTCTGCTATAAACTGATATTAATCAGCAGCTTTTTAATTGGTCAGATATCCTTGGGTCATACAATGTTCCGCAACTTGTGACCCTCTCTGGTACGATATTTGTTTGTTATGCAAATAATTAGCGTGAACTGTAGGGGTCCAAGAGACAACAGCCAATTTATGACACTTCGTTTGATGCGGGTTGGACAAACTTTGAATCGGCATAACTTTTTTAATAATCAAGCAATTAACATGTGGTTTAAAGCACATGAAAGGGAATTCATTTACGGAGGGAACCGTGTCAGGGATTTTTGTTTGCTCAATCAGCGACTTAAATATCTTTAATTACGTAATATGTATGGTGAAAAAAGTCGCATAAAATGTTTGACATGTTTTACTTTTTGAGAAAATATAGAAAAAATTTGGGACACTGTTCCCCAGATATTATAAGTATGTTTATTTTTCCAAAAGTTTGATGACAAAAAAATAAAAAATGACTTTGATATGACGATTTAAAATTTTAGGATTATTATTCAAAATCAATCCTTTACAAAGGCATTCTTTTCAAAATGTTATTTTTTATGATGATCAACGACATTGAATGCACAAAGATTCAATAAATTAAAATTATTACTAAAATAAGTTTGTTTAAATGACATTGTTGTCGCCTTAATATCGGATGTTTTCACATAATGTATTGTGAAAACTGAAACAGTACAGGTTAACCGTGAGTTTGATATAAATCAAGTTATATCCTTAGTTACTATATAACAAAATCATATGCAGACAGAATAAGTATTTTTTTGTCCAGCTTCGAAAAATTTCTTATGTGATTGACTCATTGTTTATGGATCGAGGTGATGTTTGTCGGTTTTCTAAGCTGAATTAAACGTATCAGTTCATGTCTAGGTGGTCGATCCACCTTACCGTTTTTTTTCCATTAAACTAGTCACACACGTCAATATCAAAGTGGAAAAATTAATATGAACCATAGCTTTTTAAATACAATGTCCCATTTTTATTTTATTTATACCAAGTTAAATCAACATCAACCTTTTTTATATTTGTCAAGAAAAATTCGCTTATGTACAACATAATGTAAATTAATGAATTAAATTATATCCTACCTGTGATCGACTTCCATACATGTAGAACAACCAACGATATCGTGCCTTTGACAATACATGTCAACACGTTTAAAACCGTGTTTCTCGCATATTTGTGTTGGTGAAACAGGCAGATTTCCACTTGTTCCCTCTTTGGCTTGACCTTTATCTAGAATCTTATGTCCAGACAGAGCTGGAAGACTCTCGTGAATGTCAAAACAATTCAAACAGTAATAATCATGACAGTTGAGACAGTATATGTCCGCTTCCCTATTTCTTTTCTTACGTTTACAGCGTGAGCAAAACCAATGAACTAATTCATTTGACCGTTTTCCCGTCTTATTTCCAAAAACAAAAGCCATTTGCTTTAAACAAAATTACTTTTTTTTTAAAAAAAAATATTCATTTCATTTCTGTTTCAATATCTATAACAAGATATAAAATCACGATCGAAAATCCACTGTATTCTCGAGATACACTGGGTACTTTAATCGATAATTTCTTTTAAATACAAAGTACAAATGCATGTTTTTTGAATGTGTAAATATTTTTTTTAGACCTGTTGATATCTTCTATATCTAACGTCCTTGAATTAATTTCATTTTTATGGTAATTTTCTATAAATAGACAGGAGTGTTTCAACTGAGTATTCTTTCGGGCTAAAAGTACAGTTAATAGTTTAACAAACTTTACTATTAGCATTAACTACACATTATTCTCATGAAAACAGTGCAGACCAAGATCAGCCGGCGTCTCCGTGGCCATGGTCTGTACTGTTCTATTATATTTAGCGTGGTTAGATTTAAAAAATGCTACCGATGTCAACACTCCTTTTTTTTTAAATTTGCACGAATATGTTAATTAAGTAAAACTACAACGTAAGTAAATGACGTCTCAAAAGCACTTGCTCCAGAATTAAACATAGCATCAGTAATTCATATTTCATATTTTTTAATATGAATTGTTTTACTCGAATGAAATTGGTAAAACTGTAAAGAACGACTTTACGGTAACATATATGTTGCATTTCTCATTACATTTATACTCACATATAAGTTTGTGTGAGAAACGTGAACATACACCATGCCGAGTGTTTTATCGAACTAATATCTTAATCTTGTAATAACGCTTGTTATTACTTATTTTTCTACCTTATTACGATTTCGATACGCACCTTTAACTTCACTTGCATGGTATCAGTGTGTTGATAAGGAGACCAGGACAAAACAGAGTATGTTTTCGAAATTGCGACGACCCTCATGCTAACATTTTTGGATAAGTATTTTATTGATACTGTTATGATATATCAAGATAGATTTTATTTGCTATGCAGTGGAGACTGTCTTCAGTGACCTTCCATTCCATTTTAGACACAGGGGATCGCTAGACACAATACCTCCAGTTTTGCCTAGCAATCAGTATAATTGTATGATAAGGATAATTGTTCATTACTACTTATCTATAAACAAAACTGTATTACAATTAACAAATAATAATCAAACTAAATCAATGTATATGAAAATGTTCTTTACCCTGTTATTTATAAAATTAAAAAATGATAAAATGAGCTAGTCGTCATTTTGATCCTGATATTTATGCAAAGTAAGATATAGAATAATAATAAAATAGTGTTGGATTGAAATATCTTAAGAAAATAGTCTTTAATTTCATAACCCAAAAAGTCAAATATGTGTAACTCTCACATACATGAACTATAAATATGTTTTATCGATTTGGAGATTCCGAGCCATAATTGTATTACCGATAGTTTAATAATAAAGTAATTCATGTAATTAATAGTATAAATCTTAAATAATTATCAAGCCCGTGTACCATTAATTATGAAAGGGACTTTAAAAAAATCGGGCGTAAACAAAAACAGCAACAACAACAACAACATCATTTCACAAAAATTAAGGCAAAACATTTACAGATTTCTCAAACCTAATTATCGTCTGTCAATTACATAAAATCTAATAATAAACTGCAGTATATGTAGCTATTTAAGCCTACACACTCTTGCTGTGGCTAAAGTTTCAATACACAATTTTATGTGTGGTTATTACATGTTTGAAGTTAAATTTGTTAGAAGGGTCCGATTTGTGAGTAAATATTACGGTCGTTAAATACAGTCAAAGGAAGTCGCTACATTGAACTATTTCAATAGTCAAGATAATGCATATGAGATGAATTGTTTTATTTTACCCCGCCATATACTGATATATACTTAAAAACTTTCTAGGTATCACATGTTCATCTAGATAGCGACTATTGTAGGATAACAAGCAGTGCTTTGTCGGTAAATGTTAGGTCAAAACATATTTATACAAGCAACGTTCTTTAGTCTGACACACACTAAATTATAAATTATATTTATAAGCATAATTTGATATATAGAATTATATGCAGACGAAATTACGCATTTTAGAATTGGCACTACATCAAGCCCCTCCAGTATAAGATATTGTTTCATATAACGGCAATGTCAAAGAAAAAACATATGACTCAATTGTCATTGTCAAAATTTAGAGGCTAAACACTGGCTTCAAAGTTTGATTATCAAACAATTACAAAAAATTCAACTATCCCTTATGGCTTTACATTTTCTGCATATCTTGTAAAATCACCATCAGTCATTTATCGCGATGCATGCGCGCCTCAGGTACATCCTCAAGGAATATGATGAATTGATTGACAATTATACATGTTTAAATATAATCAAAGTAGAATATTTAATGTAGCTCAAGTATTACTTGAGTTAAGTTTCAAGGACATTTCGCTTTGTGCTCAGATACTATATTCTAATTTGAATAACAACCTTACTTAATGTCTGGACTTGTTTTCTTCTCTGACTGGAGTGTTCATCTCGTCGTTATCTAACATCTTAAGCATTGTTACACCTTCTGTCTAATATTGAGAGTAGTTTACTAAAGACACTATCATGTGTCATCTGTTTATGTTCTTGCTGTTATTGACACTTTGCTCTCATCTTTTAACTAGATTTTCTTATATATTGTTAAGACAAACTTAAGCATTTGATCTTTTCCTGGCGTATGTGTGAAATTTGATTCGACTATCTCAATTCTGAAGCTTTCTGAACATCATTAACTCTATCTTGGTCATGTATGGAATTTTAACCTATCCTGGTTATATATCTACTCAAAGTAAAAAGACAGGCAGTTGGGTCAAAATGGACAACTCGTCGGTTTTGCCCCGTTAAGGCAAATAGTCTTTAACATTGAGTCAAGTGACATACAGTTAGACAATCAACGACCATAGCCTATCGGTTAATATAAGCACATACGTATACATCTTTTATAGTGTATGTAGTTAAGCAGATTTATTTTCATTTATATCGAACTGGTCAATAACTAGGAACATTAAGTCATAACTTCTTTTACTTTGGTGTAGATATTGGTTGGTCAGTCTTGTTTTGTAGATAACACATTTTGACCTAGGTCAGCTGGTCCCTTTAGAAGTCAAGGTCGCTTAGGTTTCTGCTACACTTGACTAACACAGACTTTTATAGTGAAATACCTTTAATTTTAATTGTGTAAAACCGCAATTCCCAATGCTAAGATATTTTTCATGTGGAATTCTACAAAACTAATGTAAATCCTTCCCCTTGAGCAAGTATTGGCAGCGCCTGGGGGCCACTTGAATTATACACACTTTTATGGACAAAATACATTTTTGGTTGTTTTTTTTATGTCGCACCAACACAGTATATGTCATATTGGGGAAGACCACATGTACCCTTCTGTGCATTTTTTTAGACACGACAAGTACCTGAGTAACCTGATCAGAACCATCGACATTCCATAAGCTAGCTGGATAGCTTCCTCAAATAAAAAAACTGAGAAGTCCCTGTCGGGATTCAAGCGCACAGCGGTGAGGTGCAAGTGGTTTGAAGTCATCGACTTTATCCACTCGGCCCGGGACACCCCGAAATATTTAATTATTTTAAGTTGATTGTAATTTGCGTTTCTATTGTGTTCAGATTATGTAGCCATCCATATTAGCCCAACAATTGATTAGAGCCCTCAATAAAACTGAAACTGATTTATGGCCGCCTTTATTTAAATATTGCCCCCGACACTAAGTGTAACCTGATTAATGCAGACCTATATGGGAAAATATATTTAATTCTTTAATTTTGTGAAACTTCCATTACCACAGATTAGCTATTTACGTAACATAAAATATTGATAAGTGGACCTATACAAACCTACATAAATCATTATTCTGATGCAAAATTGAATTTTTGGTCAGCTTACGTAAACTTCTGTGATGAATATGTCTTGGAATTGTTTAGTCTTAATCTACAAAAAAAACCACAAAAAACAACAGCTTAGATATTGGCTTTTAGCTTTATTTGTAGTTTCCTTAATAAGTTTCTGTAACCATGACCCTCGAAGGTGACATATGGTCCCACCGACGGTGTCATAAAAGAACAATTGGTCAACTTTGATGGGCTCATTTACTTTTTAATATAAATTTTATGTTAAACTAAAATAAGACCAAGTAGTTTTACTATCTTGAATCAAACCAAAGACGGAACGGACAGTGCCATTTCAGATTGTATGGCCGGGAGTATAAACTCGAAGTAAATTTATTTAACTTTCTGGTTCAAATCGCTTGTGTAAGTTCTATTTCAACAACAATGAAGATGTTAAACGTTTAACTTCATGTCATCAGGATCATATTTTAAAATCATAAAGTATTGATATCAAGCAATTATTTCTTTACACTTTAACATATTTCAAGCGCAGGTTAAATGTGTTTCAAACTCAACTTTTCTATTGTTGCAATTTGTTTCATTTTTATTTTTGCTGGCATATATTTCCTCTTTTAATAAGAATGTATTAAATATAAAGATGATATTGAATGAGTGTAGTTTCAATGAAAATTAATTTGTTTTGAACAAGATGGAAAAATAACATATAATGTATTTATTACATACCCAAAATAAAGACTGTTTAAAGCATAAAACAATCATTTTTTATTGACGCACCTGTAGATAGACGCTAACATTTAGGGCGTCTTTACACGTTTTTGTATAATGCAAATGACGTCATGTCAAAATATATGCACGGCCGTCCTATAAGATTTTTACGGAGTCATAAAAACGGTACGGGTATGTGATTATGTATATTTTTGGGGCATTATTAAGTCCTTCTTTCCGTCCGCTCTCTAATAACTCTAAAAGTTTTAAAACCTGTTAAATGGATGTATATTGTTTGGACAATATTAGATTTGCACTTTGTCCTTCTTTCCGTCCGCTCTCTAATAACTCAAGAAGTTTTGAAAATATTTTTTTCTGAAACTTGTAAAATTGATAGATGACATTATGGATGAAATTATGCACGTCATTTTTAGCCCGACCTTTCCGAGGAATGCACAAAAATCCAAGTCAAGACATTAGAAAATATGGAATTGATCTTGATCATGACCTTAATTTGGCATTGGCACTAAAGGTAAAATATATATAATTTCCTTACAATTGGGCCGTAACTTTCTTTACCTATTTAGGATTTTATTAAAATTGGACAAATAAAAAATTCATATTTTTCATGACAAAAAACGACATGATCAATTATTTATTTATGACCTTTATCCATCTTGGACAGCCGAGGTCAGACTATTGGAATATGCTTAAATTGACATCATTGCTTTGTTATACATTTATGGGGTTTATTTGATCAATTAATCAAGTAATGATTTACCGTCATGAACATTAAGATATCAATTACTTTCTGTTTGTTGTGAAATTCATTTCATATATATTTGTTCAATTTAAATCGTAAACTTCTATAAATTCCCGAACTCGTCATCCAAACTATCAACTTTCGTGTGACTGAGATCAATGCAAAACCGCCTCACAACCTCCTCCTTGACCATCTGATTTAAGTATTTCTGCTATCACCTCACCATTTGGTGAAAATTGTACAATATTGTTAGATGATTCACCACAAACAAGTTATATCTCCCACTGTTTGTTTCACAAATAAAGCATAAAACAATCATTTTTTATTGACGCACCTGTAGATAAACGCTAACATTTAAGGCGTCTTTACACGTTTTTGTATAATGCAAATGACGTCATGTCAGAATATATGCACGGCCGTCCTATAAGATTTTTACGGAGTCATAAAAACGGTACGGGTATGTGATAATGTATATTTGTGGGGCATTATTAAGTCCTTCTTTCCGTCCGCTCTCTAATAACTCTAAAAGTTTTAAAACTTGTTAAATGGATGTATATTGTTTGGACAATATTATATTTGCACTTTGTCCTTCTTTCCGTCCGCTCTCTAATAACTCAAGAAGTTTTGAAAATATTTTTTCTGAAACTTGTAAAATTAATAGATGACATTATGGATGAAATTATGCACGTCATTTTTAGCCCGACCTTTCCGAGGAATGCACAAAAATCCAAGAGTCAAGACATTAGAAAATATGGAATTGATCTTGATCATGACCTTAATTTGGCATTGGCACTAAAGGTAAAATTATATAATTTCCTTACAATTGGCCGTAACTTTCTTTACCTATTTAGGATTTTATTAAAATTGGACAAATAAGAAATTCATATTTTTCATGACAAAAAACGACATGATCAATTATTTATTTATGACCTTTATCCATCTTGACAGCCGAGGTCAGACTATTGGAATATGCTTAAATTGACATCATTGCTTTGTTATACATTTATGGGGTTTATTTGATCAATTAATCAAGTAATGATTTACCGTCATGAACATTTAGATATCAATTACTTTCTGTTGTTGTGAAATTCATTTTATATATTTGTTCAATTTAAATCGTAAACTTCTATAAATTCCCGAACTCGTCGTCCAACTATCAACTTCGTGTGACTGAGATCAATGCAAACCGCTTCACAACCTCCTCCTTGACCATCTGATTTAAGTATTTCTGCTATCACCTCACCATTTGGTGAAAATTGTACAATATTGTTAGATGATTCACCACAAACAAGTATATCTCCACTATTTGTTTCACAAATCTCCCTCGCGTATCTGAGATTGGTGGGGTTATATTTTCCATGTAATTTACCTTCCTTACTAAGAACTACTAGACCATTTCTCGAGTCAGCAACATAAATCCTCTCACCATCTTGACTGACTGTAAGACTGAAGATACTGACAAACAAGTTATCACCTGACTGATCTTCGGAAAATTGTAACAGCATTGTCCCTGTCTTGTTGTAAACAAAGACAGTCTTGTTTGTATCAGTTACATAAATTTTACCATTTCTGTACCCTAAGCCATAACAGCTATGATCGGTCTTTATTTCCCGTGCTACTTTAAAACGACCTTCAGTAGTTACAATGTTAATGTTTATCTCTCCAGACGATACAGCTATCTCATTGCCAACTTCACAAATTTGCCACGGGGATCTCAGAAATTGACAGACATCTATAATTTTAGATGAGGTCAAGTCAAGACGCTTTAAACTTTTATTGTATCTGTCAGCGATTATAACAGACCCATCCTTCAGCATACATATACTGTATATATCATTATTGGTATATGTGTCTGAATTATGTTTTATTCTAATCTCCTTTCTTTCCCCAAGCCTATATATAGCAGGCTTTTCCACAATTTCTCCCAATATGTCCATATGGTCTATCATTGACATCAGCTTTTGTTGACCTTCAAAGACAACATCAAATCTTTTAAATTCCACTATCTTCTTTTTCAGAACATTGTCTGCCAACTCTATAACTGTTTTAGCTGCTTTCGTTTCCACAAATATTTGCGAAACGTTGGATGCGGCGGATTTAATACCTGCTGCTGAAGTCTGAACATCTGTCTGGATAGTTGTCAGTATGGTTATTTGCTCTTCAATCTTTTTGATTATTTCTTTGTGTTTTTCTTCTATGTTATCAATGATCTGCTTTTCAAGATTGTCAATTTTCTGGTTGATGTCAATCCGGAACTGTTTTATTTTTTCAACTTCTTCTTCTTTCCGTTCAAACAGACGTTTCATTTCCTGTTGTCGAATTTTCAGCCGAAATTCAATGTCATTTCCGTTGAACGTCTTTACATTGACTTGAAGGGTCATGATCTAAGACGTACTCAGGCACATAGAAAACATTGTTACATGACCTGAAAATTTGAGTAACTTATCTGTTTATATTGCCAGGGAATGCATTCATTTTACATAACCAATTGGCATTTTATTTTTTTATGAAAATTGGTGAATTTTATGTATACTATTAAAGCAGATCTGAATCACTATAGTAGTATGTTTCCTTTCCAAAATGTCATGTTAGTACATTTATGAGCTATTTGAAACATTTTGCTTTTTTAAGATTATATGAGAATTAACAATTCGACATATATTATCGCATGTTCATAAACCAGTTCTCTTTGTAATTAAGTGTTAGCTCCAAAGATCTTTGTTTTTGATATTGAGAAAAGAAGAATTTAATATACTTTCTCAGTGCATTTTGTAATTATGTATAAATTGATAAATGTTCAATTCTTACATAACTGACATGAACAAACATTTAACTCAGAAATACATTTGATACAGCTAACTATCGTATTGTGTAAAATATACATGTCTCTTTTAAGCTTTCAATATATATGTCTTTTATTTCTCTGTTTTATGTTCATCTAAAACAGAATTGTTCGTATATCACTGGACCGTTGTTAATATGTACGATATTAATTCTTGGAGAAATTCCACTTCAATATACATGTATCAACAAGGAGAAGTAACTTTATTTCAATTATTATTTTCAAATTGGTTACAATTTTACATGAGTTTATTGTGAAAATCGAAACGGTCTCAAAGTACAGCTTAAATGTGTTACAATTTGTGTCTAGGCGTATTTTATTTTAAGCCATGAAAACTATGCGGTACATAACCATTTTGTAAAATTTAAATAACATCTTGGAAGAGCAAAAACTCAATTTTATTTTCCATTTGTTACATGAAAAACATTTTCTTTTTCAGACAACTTGCAAAGATACATAAATCTTTTGCGCGTGCGCATACGGAAAACATATTGCATGGCCAGGTAATGTTTTCATGTTACGTGATACTATCACACTCACACATGATAAATAAAATATTTTCTATGTCCCTTTCTGTAATCATAAATTTCAAATACGACAGTACTGTGGTGACAATACGCTAGTACAATGGCGAAGCACGACAGCACGATGCTGACAGTCCATCGTACTGTTGTACTGTCACCATCGTACTATCGTGTTATCACCATCGTACTGTCACCATCGCACTTACGTATTGACACCAACGTACTGTCAAACTGTCCCTATCGTACTGTCGTATTGTCACCATCGTACTGTCGTGATGTTACCATCGTACTGTCGTATTGTCACCATCCTACTGTCTTACTGTCATCATCGTACAGCCGCCTCCCCGTTAGGCATGCGCATTAATAAATATAAACATTGAGGAAAACGTTGACCGTGTTATTAAGTCTCATTTTAACATGCATAGTGCATTAAACTCCAAATATTACTCTAATTATAAAACGTAGACGGCAATAGGTAAAGGGTTCGATACAATGGTGACAGAAAGATGGTGACAGTAAAACAGTACGATGGTGAAAGTACGATAATACGAGAGAAGGATGGTGACAGTACGATGGTGCCAATATGAAAGTGCGATGTACTGTGGTGCTTCGCCATCGTTCTGTCGTACTGTCACCCTTAACGGAACACCGTACATATTAGATAAAAAAGCTTTAAATATAAGCGAGATACCGTTATTTCACACAAGCATTTAAATATAGACGACATGGTTTAATTAAAAAGAGAAAAATAAGTCATGTGATACATACCGAAATCATATTGACATATACATTACTGGTCATACGTGATAGTTGAATTATTTCATTAAAATCGTGTGCAAAATGGTTGCTTGTAAATTACCCCTTTATCCTGATTACATAAGAATAATTTTATTAATTGCGTATGAAAATCAATTTAGATATCGTATGGTTTTAAGAAAGTGGTGATAGTCATTTCATGATACTATTTTAACAGGATTTTTAATCTTTATAGATGATTTATTTGAAATATTTTAGTGCTTTTGAATACATTATTTGAATGAGAAATTCCTATGGGTACGGAATATTGTTTTTATTAGTATTATTTAACCTATCTACATAATGATGTTCTGCTAATGACTCATCTGTTACCTACCTGAAGTTATATTAGAATGAAAATAGGAACAATTCATACTTAAAATCTTTAAAATCAAAAGGGTGTAACGTTAATGGCTCTTAAATATCATTGTTAAGATAAAAAAAGAACTCCAAGTCGGTATAGTTAAAGACATGAAGTGGCAAGACTTGAAAACGTCGAAATATGTAAATGTGGGTTCTGTCCCGCGGTACGGCTGCATGACGCTGCATTATATCGGCATATCGTTGCACCACACATATTTAATCATATATATCGGGGGTATCTCACCAGGAACTGTCTGTTGGTAAACTAAATTGGAAATTGATGAGGCAAATTAAGTGAATTAAACAAAAATTACTATACTAAGTTTAAGTGACATTTACCTCATAATATTTATATATCTTTAAATATTGGCTAAGGCATTTCATGACATAGATTTAATTATATCTTACCTGTGATCTACTGTAATACATTTAGAACATCCAACGTAATCATGACTTTGACAATACATGTCAACAGGTTTAAACCCGTGTTTCTCGCATCTTTGTGTTGGTGTCACAGGAAAAATTCCGGTTTGTCCATCGTTGATTTGACCTTTATCTAGAATCTTATGTCCAGACAGGGCTGGAATATCCTCATGAAATTTTACACAATCCGAGCAGTAATAATCATGGCAATCAGCGCAATATTTGTCCGCTTCTTTATTTCTTTCCTTACGTTTACAGGGTGAACATAACATGTGAAATAGTTCAGCTGACTGTTTTTCCATCTCACACCCCGAACTGGCGGCCATTTTGCTTGAATCAAATTGACGTTCTATAAAATAAAGTCCATTTTTGTTTTCGTTACCTAATATAGGAAATATATCACGATCGATACTGCGCTAAAAATAAACCATATAATTTCAGATAAGTAGAATGTAAATGTATATAGGTTAAACTAAAGGTAGTTTTATTGGGTACTTTGTTTACAAATTCAACTTATATAGTATACGAATATAGTAATCATTTATCGCATATCCAAATTAACAATTGTATACAGTTTTTCAATAACGTACTGATAGTGTCACGGTAACATTGACGCGTCTTTACACTATGTTCGTATAACGCAAATGACGTTAGGTCAAAATATATGCAGTACAATACCATTTTTACAGAGTAGCAAAACAGGCACGTAATATTTTAATATAAAAAAACTAGAAACATTATTTATTTTAATGCATAGGTATAGTTTACAGTCTTCAAAACAAATACTTCACGGTATATACGGTACATACAGCATAGTATGAAAAGTGTTTTCAAACTAGGAAAAATTATATTCATTTCTTTAATGAAACACAGTTTTACTTGCTTAAATGTTGATACTGTATGCGATAAGTGGTTGAATTATCGAAAAATTGAAATGCTGATTTAAAACATTTTTTATTTCTGAAAGAAAACCTTTGAATGTATCGTTTCTAGTCTTAATGCGATCTATTTCTTTGGGGCAGTAGCTCACTCTGGAAGTGCTTATATTTTATGTAGATTTCTCTTTGAATATAATGTTTTAGTTTTCAGTCTACAGTTGTGCTAGTTGAATAGAAAGAATAAACCTAATTCCGTTCAATAGATGTACGTCTAACAATGTGCGCTTGATTCATTAAATTGATATGTAGTGGTAGGGTTTGGTAGACAATGAGGTTTATATATATTTTTTCTATAGAGAATAAAACCTGTAATATCACACAACAATTCAATTTAAAATAAGAACAACTTCACAAATAAATAAATATATACATACCAGGCCTTCTAAGAGGGAATCTAATGTATAAATTAATAGAAATTAATAGCAAGTATTTCTATAAAGAAATTACGAAAATACTAAAGAATTTATGTTTTCACTTCAAACTTCGAAAGCGAAGAAAGGAGTGGTCAGTTACCAAGAAGTGTTAGCTATCCCAGAACCAAATCATCTAAAATAACTTTGAAATCATAAAAAATCAATCATTCATCACTCAACCTGCAAAACCAATTCAATCACCCATAACAAAACATAACACACATAACACAACAATAGATCTGGTCTGACCTTTAAAGATAAGCTACCATATTTATTATTATAAAAGAGAACTTGGCTTAATTTAACCTTATCTACAGATATTTATTCTATGCCTGATTTTTCTTAATTATCATAGTTATGAAATAACATTACCTATAATTATGATTATACTGAAATTCATTTTTTGTTGACCTTTATAAAACGTAAAAAAGTGTTTAAAAATTTGTTGACATTGATTTCCGATCTCCTGAATATATGAAAACAGGAATGTCAACGGTGGAAATACGGTTTTACCAGTTTTTTTTCAGGATAAAATGTATCAAAAATAAAATGCTCATTCATTTTTTTCTGAAGATAATTTAAAGTAAATATCATTTCAGATGTCTTGAAATATGATCAATGAAGTAAAACAGAAAGTGCACCGAATGCCATTTAACTGATCATTTTTTGCAATTTAATAGATATAACATCAAACTTGTAGCATATATATATTTTCTAAGAAGAACTCATGATGAAATATTGTCATAATTATAAACTATTCTGGGTAATTCTTGACCATTCCTCGAATCAGTCTCGTATAATTATGATCAAATCTAACTATCTGATGTAAGTATCACAAGGAATGCAGGATTAAGTGTACGGACAATAAATATTCATTTAATCTGAGTTGCTTTCCTGAGGAAAGAAACTACAATGCAAAAAACTTAGATATTTGGCATGTTACATCACATTGTGGTATAAGATACTGTTATAAAAATCACGCCTGTTTGTTTATATATAGTCCGATCCTAAGGGTCGCTTAATTAACCTATGCTTATAAAGGAAAATGATTTCAAGTGTTTTTGGCGTCCGCGCCGAAGCGCGGCGCCTTTTATGTAATGAAATCAGATTTTGTGAAAGGGCGACATCAACTTCTCGAGCCTTTTATAGTTGTTCATAATAAAAGCCGATCATTCCGATCGGTATGAGGTTGCTTGATTATTAATTAGTCGCGATATGTACAATGAATGGCGAACTGGAGAATTTCGCAATGCAAACATTTTCAAATGAAATAACCTTTTCCGTCAATAAATCGCGCTCTTCGGGGTATTTTTGTTTATCATTTTGTAGTACACAGTGGGTTATTATTGTATGTTATTCCGAAAGCTGTTAATAGAATGATGAGTTGATGACCTAAATATTCCGAAAATCTATTTATAGAGGGATGTACTCCTATCGGTAATTCCCGGTCTCTCCCGGGATTTACTAGTGACCGGCGAATAGTACTACACGTTTATTGTCCGGTCTCTCCCGGTTTTGGAGTAGATGTTTGATATCGTTACAGAACAGAACAAATATTTTACAGATAAATAAGCTTTTTTTCAAAATGAATGTTTGTCACTTAGTTTGGTTACAATTATTAATAAACACAGATCAACTCTCAGATTTAGTGATTATTATTATACATAAACATACAATTCGAAAAAAACCAACAACACAAATCGCATGTTTTATTTTATCTATATATATGAGATAAAAACAATAAATATGTACAATAATTGAGAAAAAATGTACATTTTTATGGCATTAATATGACACTATCAACTTTGAAACATTTTATTTAATTTGTTATTCGTGTTTAGTAAAGATGTCGAGGAATTATTCAAAGTTACAAATCAGATTTTATGAATTATTCAATTGATTGATAATTTAAAAAATGATAAAGAAAAATACAAATGTACATGTATATGGTTTAAGAATAAACAATATTATATATTGAAAGATTAACCATGATTTACTGACTTTTTCCAGTTAAGTTTTGACTTATATATAATCGTCGGTCAATATGACAATTGAATTCTTAAAATAGTAGTAAACGTAAAAACTCAGTATTAAAATAGCGCATAAAACACACACACAAAAAAAAGAAAACAATATTCATAAAATCTGTATTTTTTTTTATTAAAATAGATATTACAATTATTGTATAATAAACAATTATGCTCAACATGATCAACATGGTAATATAACAAGTGTCATATTGTTACTAAGTGTGAACAGATACCTTAAGAGGGGGTCCTCGCTAATAGCGATAACATAATAAGGGACAATTACACAAGTATGGTGTTGATCATGCGTTACACATATGGATTATAAATGATTGTATACATGTATATCCGTTGCTATTAATAACCACGATCATAAAGAAATAACAAGTAATATTCTAATTTCTAGCATGCCGATCAAAGTTATAAATAATGAACAATGTCTTTCGTCCGTTCATTCAAGTGATATACAATTCTGGTAAAAAACAATGAACCATTGAAAAGTTTATAAGAATATATTGTCATCATATATCTACTAGTTCGTCTGCACCTGCTGCTTGGACGCCCTTTGATGCTTTGCATCAATGCTTTTCTTGTATGAAACTATAACGCCTTTAGATATTGGGCATGTATTTTTGCCAAATGTGCATCTCCAAGAGTTATAAAAATATGTCGATTTCTTTTGTTCAATACAATGCTAATAGGTAGGTATTTGTCCTTAAGACCTTATTGGCAGACATCTACAATGTTTTAAAAATTATGCATCTTTGGAAAAAAATGACAAACCAAAATTAATATGATATAAAATAAATATGATATAAATACTGACATTTCATAGAAAAATAAAATACGAGACCTTTTCCAGCCAACGATCAAGGGCAATCTTTACTTTATTGTTCTACATATTTTGTTTTAATGAAATCCACGGTCATGAATAATGTTAGATGGCTGTTTGAATAAAAATTACAAGTATAGATGAAAAAAGACTTAAAGTCTCCCGCTGGTTACCCATCTGCAAACGTGACGGTGAATTCACTTGTAATAGTTTTGTCAGCATTTGTGCACATGCATATGCTGTTCACAAGAGAAGTATACGGCCTTTTTATACTCTTTAAAGAATTTTGGCGTCTAATGTTATGTACCTGATCGCACTTCTTTTGTTTTCGTCTTTAAGCATTTTCTTGACTGATCTGTAACTTTTAAACAGATGAAATGAAATAGAATCTACATGCCAGAAATGTTAATATTATTAAAAGATATTCAGTGCGCAGGGTTGTCCTTCCTAAGGTCAAGGTCATACTCAGTATGTGTGAATTTAAAGATTTCATGTTCAATCTTTTGAGCTGATAAAAGGAAAATAAAGCTACAATGCATTTTGCAGAAATGTAACTGTTCGTTGATCAATTTGCAGAATATAGGTTTAGGCTTCCTCAGATCAAAATCGACCCCGCCCGGGGCTCAATGATTTATATAGACTTTCTACTGGAAAAAAAAACAATCTGTTTTAAACGTCAATACCCATGACTTAGATATTTGACTTTTTTGCATTGTGTACCTCTTTTAAATAAGCGAAAATCATGACCCTAGGTACATTATTGGCCCCGTTTCAAGGGTCACTTTACTTACAAGAATACCCTAAAGTCTTATTGTGTAAGACTACATTGCAAAGAGCGAAGATATTTTGCATGTACCGTTATCTTGTGGACTTCTACAAAACTAAAATGAATCATGCCCCTTGTGCATATATTAGCACCGCCCATGGGTCATTTGATTTAATTCGGACTTTTATGGGATTATGCATGGGCAAGTGGTTTGGAGTCAACAACCGTAAACACTAGGCACGGGACGCACCGAAAACACATGTACGATTTATTTTAGAGATTATTTAAATATATTCGATATCTATCAATGCATTTTTTACATTTACATAATTGATATAAATCATGCCTATTTAAGTCCGCCTCAGGGGTCATTTAGTAAATATACACCAAAGGAAATCACATTATAATCCTTTTAAGTAAAACAAAAATGACCAGCACTTGGATATTTGGCATTACGCATTGCAATATGGACCTACTCGAAACTGATATGCATGCCATTTAATTTATTTTTGCCACAAACAGTTAGGGTCACCTGATTTATATAGAATAATATAGGAATATCTTTTTAATGTTGGTTAACTTTCATAACCAAAGATTAGCTATCTAACATATACCATTGATTAGTGGACATATACAGACCTACATAAATCAAATTTCTGATGTAAAAATTAGCCCGCCTATAGGGACAGTTTACGTATGTAGCTTTTTATGAAAAATATGTCTTAAAATTTTTGAACTACAAAAACAAGTGCTTAGATATTCGGCATGTAGTGTTGACTTCTGGTTTTCTATAAAACGGTATAGTAACCATGACATTTGGAGGTGGAAACAATCCTTCCTTAGGGATCATTATACTTATTTAGTCTTATGAGAATCATTTAGATGAAACATTTTCGGTCAAGTTTCGTTAATTGTTCGAAAGATTTTTTTTTAATCCTCGAAAATTTTCATTTGGACATATATTTCAACGCTTTTCTGCTTTTAGACTAGATATTTCATTGAAAAAGATAGCAAAATTGAAATGTAAGACATATCAACATGTTTTGTTTGAAACTGAGTAAGATACACGGTTTTGATTCTCTTTTTTACAAATACAAATCACTGGCATAACAAACACGAACGCAAGTCGGAAAAAGATTTTCATGAGGTCACATATAGCGTCAGATACATATATCGTCATTCGGCTCTGTATCGATTTTTGAGTGACGGAAACAACAATAGAAGACCATTCGGTAACGTTCTATGGGCGCATTTACTTTTTTATACGAGTTAGGTTGAAGTGGAGTTTAACAAAGATATGATCTTCCTGTTCTTAGATCGGGTATCAAACACATGGACGAACGGACGAGGCCAATTTCCGATTTTATCGTCGGCGGAATTAACTCACTTTCTGGTTCAAGTACAAAATCTACTACAACAACAATGAAAATGTTTAATCTTAAACGTTTTGTCACTTTAATCATAATTAAGAGCCAAAACAATTGAACAAATTTTGCCCACCACATGCCTAGTAATACACATACGGCGTAGTCTGAACGTCATAAGCGGTGTCGTTAAAACATACTAAAATGTTTTGAAAGTATTAACCGCTTTACAATATATTAGGTCAGTGCTTTATAACCAATGTAATCATTATCTTCTTATAAGGAGTTCTTTTAATGCCTTGCACAGTTAGTGTGCTAACAACTCAAACCTATGACCATTTAAAAGTTGGTTGATTTGTGTGTGTATGCGTGCGTGCGTGCGTTTGTGTACGTGCGCGCATGTGTGTGTGTTTGTGTGTGCGGATACAATATGGTTCATTTCTATATATCATTCATCAGATAAACAAAAACTCCGCGAATCGGATTTGTCGCCTTGTGAACAGTATGGTTGTAACTTGGGCATTTTCTTCTTAAATAAATATAAGTTATTTATAAACACCACATATACCTTAAACTTAAGTGGCATTTAAGCTGACTGTAACAATTAAACATCAGGATTGATGTAGCCTGAATAGCTTTTATTGTGTAGGAGAATTGGCCCGGACAATAATGAAATATGAAGATTAACAATGGGCACTAACTCACAAAAAAAAATGCAGAGTACCAGTTTTTGTGCACTGCACTTTTCTCACAATAAGATATATCACCCTATGAAGTTTCAAGTCCATAGCTTTTATAGTTTAGCAGAAATGGCCTGAAAAAATGAAGTATGAAAATTAGCAAAGGGCAATAACTCAAAAAATAAGAAGTGCAGAGTAACGATTTTTGTGCATGGCACTTTGGGTCATTGACAGAAGCATGCATACCAAGATTGGAGTCAAACCGACATAAATTGACTGAGTTATACTCCATACAAGCCTTAGGGGACGCCGCCGACAACGACACAGACGCCGAAGCCGCCGACAAAAGTAATCTCTATATGTTGCGTTTTTTAAGGCGACACAAAAAGTACATGATAAAATCAGACGTTAAAAGGCAAACAAATAGCATGTACAAAAATAAATAAAAAATTTTAGTTTTCCATTTCTGTCGCTAATTATTCCTAGATAAGAAAGAACATTAATCACCCAACTTTGATTGACTTAATTTCAATAGGAATAAGTTTTGGATCAAGGAAATAAATACTTTAAACAAATCTTAGATATATACAATTCATCAAGAAAATTTATTTTTAAAAGTCGTATTCAATTTCATGCAATGCTGCATATTTGTTTGTTGTTTTAAGCTCCATAGCTACGGTTAACATTAAAGTCATGCGCATTTTTCTTTATCCCGGCAACGATATTTATTAGTATTAAGATAATCCAAAAGTCTGAAAAAACGTCTATACCACTCTGGGTATTTTGTTTGACAACAATATACTTGTGTCGGGTTCCCTTTGTCATATTAGGTGTTTAAGAAGGATACTTTCCGAACAATCGACAAATATTTATGAAAGTCCGTTATTAGGAAGAATAGTTATAATGACGACATTTTGAATAAAAAAATGTCACAACTACAAATTTTTGAAACTCGATTCACAATTATCCAATGTTCATATAACTTGAAATTTTAAATAGACATTTTTCAGTTTTTACACAAAGCTCCTGCATTAGAACAAGACCCATATTTGTATAATGCACTTTGGTGTATATCAAAAGTAATGTCAATGGACGTCGCATTCTTTGAGCTGTGTCGCTGTACACTAAGTGTCTCCGAGGTTATTTAAGGCTGTCTTAAACAGTACCTTATACCGATAATGTTTTGCAATTCAATAGATTAAACCTCAAACTTTGAGCAGGTATATATCTTAAGCAGAAAACATGTAATTTATCAGAATATTAAAAAATAATCCGGGTAATTGTGGATCATCCCTTGTATCCGTCTCGTATGATTGTGATCAAAGCAAACAGCGAGACAATTTCCACATTTACCATCTGATGTTAGTATCAGACGAATTGCAGGATTAATTGTATAGAAAATAAATATTATTCATTTTTAGTTGCTTTGCTGAAGAGAAGTTACTTTCCTGAAGATAATTCAACGCTGAATTCATTACAGATGTTTTAAATTTTGATCAATTAATCAGGTATTCATTAACCGTAATAAAAATTTAGATGTCATTTATTTTTGTTGTTCAGTTCATATCGTAAACTTCTATATAATTCCGTTCTGATCGTCCAACTATCAGTTTTGTGTGACTGCGATCAAAACAAACCGCCAGACAACCTCCTTCTGTACTATCTGATGTAAGTATTTCTCCTAACACCTCAACGTTTGAAGAAAATTGTACAATATTGTTAGATGATTCACCACAAACAAGAATATCTCCACTGTTTGTTTCACAAATCTCCCGTGCGAGCCTGAGGTTTGAAGGATTATATTTTCCATGTAATTTGCCTTCCTTACTAAGAACTACAAGACCATATGTACCATTAGCAACATAAATCCTCTTACCATCTTGACTGACTGTAAGACTGTATATGTCGCTGAACAAGTTATCACCTGACTGATCTTTTGAAAATTGTATCAGCATTGTCCCTGTCTTGTTGTAGACAAAAATAGTCTCCATTGAATCAGTAACATAAATTTTGCCATTCTTGTACCCTAAACCATAACATTCATGATCGGTTTTTATTTGCCGTGTTACTTTAAGAGGACCTTCTGTAGTTAAAATGTCAATGTTCATCTCTTCAGACGATACAGCTATCTCATTGTCAATTTCACAAACTTGCCACGGGGATCTCAGACGTTGACAGACATCTATTATTTTAGATAAGGTCAAGTCAAGACGTTTTAAGCTTTTATTAACGTTATCGGCGATAATGACACAACCATCTTTAAGCATACATATACTGTTTATATCGTTATAGAGACTTTTGTCGGAATCATGTTTAATACTTATCTCCCTCTTTTCCAATAGCCTATATAAAGCAGGCTTTTCCTCAATTACTCCCAACATGTCCATTTGGTCTATCATCGACATAAGCCTTTGTTGACCTTCAAAAACAACATCAAATCTTTTAAATTCCACTGTCTTCTCGTTCAAACAATTGCCCGCCCTTTCTGTAACTGCGTTAGCTACTTTCATCCCAACAAATTTTTGCGATACGTTTGATAATGTGTATTTTATATCTGCTGCTGAAATCTGAACATCGGTCTGGAAAGTTGTCAGTATGGTAATTTGCTCTTCAAACTTCTTGATTAATGTTTTGTATTTATCTTCTATTTTATCTATGCTTTTCTTTTCAAGATTGACAAGTTTTTGGTTGATGTCAATCCGGAACTGTTTTATTTTTTCAACTTCTTCTTCTTTCCCTTGACACAGACGTTTTATTTCCCGTTGTCGAATTTTCAGCTGAAATTCAATGTCACGGGTAACAGCTACCAATTTCCGTTGAACGTCTTCACATTTACTTGTAGGGTCATGATCTAAGACGTACTCAGGCACATAGAAAACATCGTTACATGACCTGAAATTTGACAATAATTTTAACTTTATATATTGCGAGGACAATGCATTTACTTTACATTAGTTATTTACATGTTATTCTAAAAAGATAGGAATGAGGAAACTTTTAAAATTTTATTTGTACATAAAATGATAAGTTTCCTTTCCAAAAAAAAAAAAATCAACATTTAAATGCACAATACCAGGAATTGTTAAAAATATATATCTGGTCTGTAAACCAAGAAATGTGCTTCATTTTAATAAACATAAGAAAATAATCAAGACTAAAGTATTGTATTTTTTTAATAAAAAGAAAGTCATATAATACATGCCTGGCCAACATTATGTGAAGAGTATGTTTTTTGAAATTGAATACTTCTATTACTACGTTTCTTTTCTCAGAATGAGCAACACATGATAATAAAAAATTGTAAGCATTTTTAAGTGTTTTTCGGATAGATTGATTACTAACAGTAATTATTGAAGTAGGATTGAATGAATGTGTTTGTGCACATTGAAAATATGTTTATGTTAAACTGACCGTGCAGACATAACAAAACAGTTAAATCAACAAATGCCTTTTTATTCTAATTGATATAGCCACCACATTAATATAATGAATACATTATTTCAAGTTATATCCTGTAAAGTTGATAGTATTATGAAATAAACTATCAAAATCATGCACAGATAGAAAGATTATTTCTATGTCAAACTTCGTAAATTTTTAAAATTTCTTATTTGAACCAACGTTAATGAAATTTAAGGTTTTCAGAGCCCCTTTAATACATGATTGGTCATATATTTTTAATTTTGTTTGTTGTTTTTTCTTTTGGGGGGGGGGGTGGGGTCTCATCAGTAATTAATTATTTGTCCAGTACTTTAAATTTAAATGGGAAATTAAGTAGATTAAACAAAACAGTTTAATAGCGGGTAATAATATGTTTTCGAATTTTATACAAAGTTTATCTAACATCGACCTTTTTATATTTGTCAATATTGGCTAAGTTGAACATGACACAGATTAAATTATATCTTACTTGTGATCTACTGCCATACATATAGAACATCCAACGTTATCGTGACTTTGACAATACATGTCAACAGCTTTAAACCCGTGTCTCTCGCAACTTTGTGTTGGGATTTCAGGAAATATTCCGCTTATTCCATCCTTGACTTGATCTTTATCTAGAATCTTATGTCCAGACAGTGCTGGAATATCCTCATGAAATTTCACACAATCCGAGCAGTAATAATCATGACAGTCAGCACAATATTTGTCCGCTTCTTTATTTCTTTGCTTACGTTTACAAGGTGAACACAACAAGTGAAGAAGTTCGTCTGACTGTTTGTCCATCTCACTCCCTGAAATAGCGGCCATTTGCTTGACACAAATTTATTTTTATAAAATAATGTCCATTTTCGGTTTTGTTTTCTATAACAACAGACACTTGGGGTTATGTGCGTGGCTCCCCTTCTTGATCCGCACTTGTATACACCATGTCTATTTTTATCGTGCAAACCGTACGTCAAAATATCTTTGCATATTATTACGACCTGGTCACATGTCTTGAACATAAATCTTGTTTTCCGCTGTTGTAACAGCGTTTAAAAAAGTCCCTTCAATATCATTATTTCATAAAGATAACAACGTACGCATTCCGTTGATATGAGACGACTGGAATGAGTTTCGGCACTGCTTTGCGCTTTCATTTATGCCGAGAACCAAAATCCCCGCAGCGGTTACTTCCCAATATCAGTAAAAAATCAAATCAAGAAGACTGACGGAAAGGGCCGAGTAGTTGCGATTGAATTTTTTCCCAGCGATTTTCCCGCTGATATTTACGTAAAACAGCATGTGACACGGTTAGGAAAATGTAATTAAATGTTCAAAGCTTGGAAGAAAGGTACGATCGGATAATAACATGCATTTATTTATTAAAAGAATATATGCCTCGACTAATAAAGAATATATGCCTCGACTGATTCACACATAAATAAATGGCATGCGATAACATAAATACTTGAAATATATGTAGGTCAGTTGTGTTTACATTTCGAAGTTTGGTATCTTCAGGAAATTAAAGCGTTGCTAAAAAATGACTTTTTTTTAAACTTTATGAAATTCTATTCAAACTTGTTAACGTGTTAGACACTTAACCGTCTCATACTAATATAAGCAAAAATTTAAAACTAATTATCATAATAGATAATACTTTTAGTTTTTTATATTCAGGGGCGGAGAAGGGCGGAGTCTTTACTCCAAGTGTCCGCGCTAAGAATAAACCATTTTAGATAAGTTGAATATTTATGTATTTAGGTCATATATATAATAAAAAGGTAGTTTAATTGGGTGATTTGATTACAATTACAACTTATTTGAAGTAGAAATTTGTTTGTTTGTTTGTTTTAGGTTTTACGTCACATCGAAACAGTATAGGTCATATCGCGACGTTCCAGCTTTAATGGTGGAGGAAGACCTCAGGTGCCCTTCCGTGCATTATTTCAGGCACGAATTGGCACCTGAGTAGAGCCACCGACGTTCCGTAAGCTAGCTGGATAGCTTCCTCACATGAAAGAATCCAAAATACCTGTCGGGATTCGAACCCACAGCGGTGAGGGGGAAGTAGAAATGCATGTTTGAATGTTTAAATAGTTTTCTTTTAATCTTTATTTATTTTTGTCGTTTCATGCCTATTTTGTTGAACAGAATTGTAA